TTCCCTAGGAAGGGCCCCAGCAGGCTGAAATGGGGGCCAGGTCACAGATCTGTGTGTGGTATTATTGGTTAGCAATGCTCTTGTGGGAGTTGGGGCCTGTGATGTGACAGAAGGACAGACCTGGCCATGTACGGAGGAGTGTAAACCAGCTGCGTGACCTCGGTCAACCCCTTCCCTCCCCCGGATGGTTCAAGGGGGAGCCAGCGGATCAGGGCTGGGCTTCCAGCTTCAGAACCCCGTGACTGCCACCACGAGAAGCAGAGTGAGACGCTCCAGGTCAACGCAAGCTTGTCTTGCAGCCGTGGGGTGGAATGGTAATACGTCATCAGACCACTGCGGGGGTGATAGCATATCAGAGATGGTGAGGGCTTACCAGCTTCCCAGAAAGTCCATCATTTGCTTTCAGTGACCTAATCCTTGGGTTCTAGGCACTTGGGTTGTATGGTGCCTGAGGGACCACTTGGATCCACTTTGGACCAACGAGGAGTCCCTTAGTGCCTGACAGAGCATCCAAGTTTCTACCTGTCTTCAGTAATGGGGCCAATGACACACTGAGGGGATGGCCCCTGTGCCAGTCCATTTACCAGAAGCTTCGGTATTAAGTACCAGCCTACTTCTTTGTAACTTCTGCTCATTTCTTCTGGCCCAGCCTAGGGGGCAGCCTCTACCCATGGCCCCTCTTCTCTGTGGCAGCCACTGTGGACACTGCCCGCTAGCTGGTCTTGCCTCCGGAGACATTTGTCGGGCCCTTTCCACATTCCTTCCCTGCCCTGATCCTGTGAGGGTTTATATGCTGCTCTTCCTACAGAGATCTCCAAACAGATGTTCTTAGTGATGGGTCCTGCTCTACCTGGGCCCCGCTTTCACGCAGCACCAACGAGCCCCAGTACCTGTGTTTGTGGGAACACACTGAGCATCCCCCTTGGTTGTGCCTGATGAGGAAGAATACGAAAAAGCCCTTTGGAGCTATTTTCTTCACGTCTCTAAATGATGGGGTGTGAAAGAGGGCTGCATGTTAGCAGGGCACTGGCCATGGAGGGAGGGACAGAGGCTGTTGTTTCAGCCCAGGTGAGCAGAGAGGAAAGTGGCTCAGAGCAGTCTAATCCACGAAGCTGGCTTGGCGTTGATGCCACCACTGCGGCCACTTCCAATTTCTTGGATGTTCTTTCCTCTGATTTGTCACGTGTGTGCAAATCAGAGGAACTGGTCCCTGGTACCCGCCCTTAGGACCTTGCTTGACGGGGGTTGCAGCCTTGCTTTTTTCCTCTCCAGCTTTCTCCTGCACCCATAGGGCTTGTTGTCTGACTTTGTCTCCTCTGGCCGCAGGTGGTGCTTCCCACGTTCATTCTCGAGAAGCGGTCCTTGCTGGAGATGTACGCAGACTTCCTGGCACACCCAGACCTGCTGCTGGCTGTCAGCGCAGGGGCCACGCCACAGGACAGGGTCATCGGCTTCGTGGAATATTACCTCACCGCCTTCCACGAGGGCCGCAAGGGCACCCTGGCCAAGAAACCCTACAACCCCATCATCGGCGAGACGTTCCACTGCTCCTGGGAGGTTCCCAAGGACAGGTTCAAGCCCAAGAGGACTGCCGCCCCTACTCCCTCCAGCCATGAACACTCGATGGCCGACGACCCTTCCAAGAACTACAAAATGCGGTTCGTGGCCGAGCAGGTGTCCCACCACCCGCCCATCTCCTGCTTCTACTGTGAGTGCAAGGAGAAGAGGCTGTGCATCAACACTCACGTATGGACCAAAAGCAAGTTCATGGGCATGTCCGTGGGGGTCTCAATGATCGGGGAAGGTAAGCCAGATCACTGGGTGGAGTTGGGCTCTGACCAAGGGACATTTGTGTACCTGATGGACACCTGAGGATTTATGTGTGGAGGCCTTTGTTTCTATTTCGTTACGGAATTGGGAGTAAGTGGGCGGGTTGGAAATATGGATGGGTTTTGCTATTTGGGAACCAGGTTCTGGTCATTTTCCAAAGCGGCCGAGGTGATGGGGTAAGTGGGATGCAGCTGTTTGCCTCTTAGGCTGCCCACCTGGATCTTCACCAGCTACTCGTGTGTGAGCCGCCTTACAGATCCTTTTTTTTCCAGCTCTGTATGAATATTAGAGTTGGCTTCAAATCTATGAAAACACATTTTTCTTCATTCTCACCAGTTTCTGGCTCACAGACAATGAAGATCATAGTGCTGCCTATTCAAAATCTGCTCATAAATAATTCCCAAGGCAAATCTCTGGACACTGGGCTTGCAGTTCTGAAGGGAAAACCCAGTATAATCAGACCACTCGTGGATCACACGTTTCTCTATTAGCAGACAGCTGTGAATGAAGGTTATTCATTGTTTGAGGGAAACTATAATCATCCTTGTCAAATTCAGGAACCTGTGTTAGTGGTTCTTCAACTTCTTTTGAGTCATAAATCCCCGTGAGATTCTGGCTGTAGGCTCTCAGGAAAAAGAAAAACCCAGCACAGAATGTGGCTTTCAGTTTCAGGGCATACACGGCTCCTTGGAAGCCCTTTCCAAACCCCGGGAGATGAGAACACCTTTCACTGGCTTAGCACGCTCTTATTGAGCGCCTACTGGTTGCCAGCCATTGCCTTGGGAGCCATGGGTACTTGAATGAGCAGAACAGACAGAAGAATCTCTGTTCTCACAGAGCTCTCTCTTCTGCTGGGGAAATGCAATTGTGTAGTGCTTTGGAAGGTGTTAAGTTCTATGGAGAAAAATTAAGGCGGGAAGGGACCTGGGAATAAAATAAAGGATCTAGGAATGGTGGGGAGAGAGCAGTGGGACTTTGGGATGGGTTGGGGTGGCGGCTGGGAAGACATCACCGAGAAGGTGACAGCTGAGCAAAGACCCATGGGGGGGTATGAAGGACCCAAGAAGGTGATGATGGACAGGCTTTGTCGATTACCTGGGGAGTGTGACTTGGTGGAGAGAACAAGGCCAGAGGCAGAGGGGCCAGAGGCAGGGGCATCCCTGCATGCTCGTCTGAGACAGGAAGCCTGTGTGGCTGGAGCCGGGAGAAGGGAGGTGGGAGGGAGAAGATGCCGTCGGAGAGGTGACTGGGTCCAGGTCACGTGGGGCCTCAGGGGACCACCGGCAGGGGTGTTGGCCGTCCCACTAAGTGAGCTGCCAGGTCTTTGCGGGCTTTGAGCAGAAGAGTATCATGATCTGACTTTCAGTTTAGCAAGATTGTTCCAGCTGCTTGTTGAAACTAGACCATAAGAGGGGGAAGGCGACGCAAGGAGACCAGTTAGGAGATTATGATAATAATCCAGGCAAAAGGCGATGGTAGCTTGAACCACGGTAGGAATGGTGCGGAGGTAACACAGGCTGGGAATCTGGATGAATTCTGAAGTGGAGAGATCAGATGTGGGGTATGAGTGAAAGGTGATGCCAAGGCTTTTTTTTTTTTTTTTTTTTTAAAAATATTACGTAATCATTGACGCTATTCCCTACATTGTGCACTGCATACCCATGACTCATTTATTTTGCAACTGGAAGTATGTACCTCTTAATCTCCCTCATCTATTTCTCTTCTCCCCTCTGGCAACCACTTGTTTGTTCTGTGAATCTATGACTCTGTTTCTGTTCTGTTATGTTTGTTCATTCGTTTTGGATTCTACCTATAAGTGAAATCGTACAGCATTTGTCTTTCTCCGACTTATTTCACTTAGCACAATACCTTCTAGGTCCATCCCTGTTGTCACAAATGGCAGGATTTCATTCATTTTTATGATTGAATAATATTTCATGGTATACTTATACCACAATTTCTTTATCCATTTGTCCGTTGATGGGCACTTAGATTGTTTCCATATCTTGGTTATTATAAATAAGGCTGCTGTGAACATAGGGGTGCATATATCTCTTTAAATTAGTGTTTTCATTTTCTTTGGATAAATACCCAGAAGTGGAATTGCTGGATTGTATGGTGGTTCTATTTTTAGTTTTTTGGGAACCTCCGTGCTGTTTTCCATAGTGGCTACAACAATTTACATCCTTCCAACAGCGTAGGAGGGTTCCCTTTTCTCCACATCCTCTCCAGCGTTTGTTATCTGTGATCTTTTTGATGATGGCCGTTCTGACAGGTGTGAGGTGATACATCATTGTGGTTTTGATTTGTATTTCGCCGATGATTCGTGACGTTGAGCATCTTTTCATGTGCCTTTTGGCCATCTGTATGTCTGCTTTGGAAAAATGTCTATTCAGGTCCTCTGCCTATTTTTCAGTCGGGCTGTCTGGCTTTTTTTGATGTTGAGTTGTATGCGTTCTTTGTATATTTTGGATATTAACCCCTCATCAGACACATCTGGATTGGATGTGAGGTATGAGAGCAAGGTGACACCAGGCTTTTGACCTGAGCAACTAGAAGGATGGAATAGAAGACTGAAGAGGGGATTAGTTTGGAGAGAGAGCACAGGAGCCCAGTTAGTTTGTGTTGGGGTTTAGACATTTGAGAGGGGGGCTTGAGCAAGCAGTGTCTCTACAGGCCAGAGTTCTGGGTGAGGTCCCGGCTGAGGTTAAAGCTTGTCACGTAAAGCCTGGAGACTTGTATGTGTTGCGTGTCTGTGTCGCGTGAAGGGTCGGCCTCTGATGTTCGGGATCTCGGCTGCCCAGTTCCTTCCAGGCAGCCGGTAGGGGTTGCAGCCTTCATTCACTCTGCACAGCCCTGGACAAACTCTTAAGGCTGTGCGTGTGTGGGACACCACGTAACACCCTCTGCTGAGACCCTCGGCCGTAGCATCCCTGGAGCAGAGCTGGCATTTGCTGCCCTCAGTGCTTCTCTCTGCTTGAAAATTCTACTTAGAACTTCCCAGTGAAGAAAGCCGAAGGAAGATTCTGGAGAGAGACTGTGGAAGGCCCCTTCCTGGCCACCCCCCACCCCCCATGTAT